CGGCAGAAGGATCGTCGTGGCACGCCTGCTAAACTGCCTCACGCAGTGCCGTTGGCACGGCGATGAGAAAAGTTTCTTGGCTGCTCTCAAGTTGTAGAGAACATTGTTCTGCAGGCAATACGATGTTACTCCACGTGAGAGCCGGCGTGGGACGATAACGTCTTCTCTTTAAAGATGCTGGATGACAGGAAGTAGCCCAATGTCCTCACGTTGAAGCTCAGCCATCCGCACCACATCGACGATGCGAAGAAATGGTAAATCTTGTTCAGTGTCAGATGACGTCGAATAGGACCACGAGACAGACAGTCAGCATCTGTATGCTTATGTCCTTGAAGGCGGGGGCTCCAGCGGGCGAGGCGGCCTGATGGATCCCGTAGATTGGCAAGCCAACAGAGTGAATGGTGGTCACTGACCGCTTGAACGGGCCGGCCGTACAGGTAGGGTCAAAACTTGCTAATGGCACAAACGACTGCTGGGGACTCTTTTTCGGTGGTAGAGTATTTAGCCTCTGCTTTTGTGAGACTGCGGCTCGCGTAAGCGATCACACGCTCTGCGCCGTCCTGCCATTCAATTAGAATGGTTCCGATTCCTACGTTGCTGGCGTCCATGTGAATCTCAGTCTCGGCAGTGTCGTCAAAATGTGCCAGCGTTGGAGCTTTCTGCAGTCGATTGCGTAGCTCTACGAAGGCTTGCTGTTGTTCTTCCGTCCGTACGAAGGGCACATCTGGCCGTGTCAGTCTTATAAGAGGTTCTGCAATTTTCGAAAAATTTTCGACAAAATGGCGGTAGTAGGCACAGAGTCCGAAAAATTGATTCTCCACTCGCGGAAGAGTTATTACGCCACTGTGTGTTTCTATCTGTTTAACTTCTTCATCTATTCACGTCACGTGATGCCAAATTTAGTATATGTGGAGCTAGCGAAACGGCCGCGAGCTCATCATGAGTGTTGCATGCAGTCATGTTGTGACATGACACATATCTCATGATTATCATGTTTGCACCAGTATCATACCTTCGTCATCCATTCACGTACTGTAATACCAAATTTGGTATATGTGACGCTGACGAAACGGTTGCGAGCGCATCATGAGCGTGGCATGTAGTCATGTTATTACATGACATGCATGTCATGATTTTCATGTGAGGGTCTGTCGCTTGTGTTCGCCATGCAATCATGTCATACCATACCAGTTTTGCAACATGCCATGTAAACGAAACCACCGCAAGAGCTGCGGAACCATGAAATGTAAATCATGACATTCATGACATACATGTCATGATTTTCATGTTATGCCTAGTCAAATATGTTCATACAGTCATGATATGCCATACCAAGTTTGATATCGATACCATTATCTAAACGGCCAGGAGAGCTAAAAGTCGTAGGCGGCTAGGCAGGCAGGCAGGCAGGCAGGCAGATACGCTCAAAGTCGCCGAAGTTTGCTACGAAATGCTTAAATTTTAAAAAAGCGTTCTCTGCCACTCCCAATGCTATCAACGTGGTTGATGGAAACACCGGCGTTTGCAGCACGTCGAGCTTATTCGCGCGAGTAAAACGCGGCATACGCTTCCAGCTTTCAAGTCTGTGCTCGAGGAATGACCGGCCGAGCGCAGGCCTCCGATGGCGCCTTTGACTACGCGACCTTTTTCAGCGCAAGATATCGTCTTTTGACCTTCCACGATATAACAAATCACTACCGCCTACAGCGCACTATACACCCCCTCTTACACCATGGAACTTCACTCTACCATGAAATACTATGTTGCCAGTTACAGACCCGTACGTTTCCTACCCCATCTTTTCGCCATCTTGTACACCCTGCGATACACCCCTCCCCTTTGTGCATTTTCTGTCAACAAAGAGCTAACCTAGACCATACCATGTGGGGGTGTACTCGAAACATACCACCCAATTCTCTACACATTAATAATAAAGAGCAGTGGGAGGCTGCTATGTGCAGCCTCCCACCGGAAATGCGTTCGCATTTCGGGTTTCTTGCTTTGGTTGTTTTTTTCTTTTTGTCGTTTTTTGTGCCCATGACATTGGTCCAGTGCACATGTAAGACGAAATTATACGCCTCTAAAGGCTGTACTTGCTAGTGTACCCACCACCCAATTCTCTACAGATTAATAGTAAGGAGCAGTGGGAGGCTGCTATGTGCAGCTCGGCGCCCGAGGTCCAGGACCAGATCTTGCATTGGGCCAAGAGGGTAGCGGAGACCTACGCTGGGCAGGCTCCTCTGACACTCCACCACTGCACCTTTCCCTCTTGGGATAAATAAAGTTTTAAGGGCGAAGCTCCTTATAGCGGCACCCGTTCGTCCCGCGTCCCGTCGTAGTATGTAACCAGTCTTACGCTTTGACCTGCAAACATTTTGACCTCCAAGGTGGTGCCGGTGAGAGATTCCTTCTGTGCGTAGTTGAACAACAAAAAATTGTGCTCAATGTGCATGCCAATAGCTGATAATGGGGTATGAGAGACAGGAAGGAGCATTCGGCTTTTAGTTAACGTGCACGCTGCGATCCCCATAAACAGCCATTGCATGTACATTGAGCACTATCTGAAGGGAAAGGGTTGCTACGTTATACCCGCTGGGTGTAACCACCTTAGTTTTAGAAAGGTTTAGCGAGCGTTGAGCCGCACTGCCATGAATACAATGAACTAGTATATACCATGAATGAACTCGAGGTAGTTAAAGGTGGGAAGTAGGTACGAAGTGCAAGCCGTAAGAAAGTAAAAGCCGAATTCTCCTGTCTCTCATTTCCCATGCAGCCATTGGCATGTACATTGAGCTCTATCTGCCAGGAAAAGGTTGCTACGTTATACTCGCTGGGCGTAACCTCCTTGGTTTTAGAAAGCTTTAGCGAGTGTTGGGCCGCAGTGCCATGAATACAGTGAACTAGTATATACCATGAACTCGAGGTGGTTAAAGGTGGGAAGTAGACCCGAAGCGCAAGCTGTTAGAAAGTGTGCGTGTGCCACCGCTCGTTTAGTCCTTGGAATGTCCACTGGATGGCGGTGTTTCTATATGGGGAATACATGATGAAAAGATTCGAGATGGTGGTACTTGGAGTGTTGAATATATAGACGAACGGACACACAGACAGATGCATGAATGGACGCATGAACGGGTGCAGGGGCGGATGCGTGGACGAACGCAGGAACGGACGCACGCACGGACGGGCGGATGGACGCATGGACGGTCGCACAGACGGAAGGAAGCAAGAACGAATGGACGGACGAATGCTTCGCCCCACTCTCCATCATTCACTCCGTGGATATGCTGCTAATTTTTTTTTCTTTTTCTCCTCCTCCTCCAGCTTTCAAGCCATAGCTGCGTTTTCAGGCTAAGAAAATTTACATTTTCCGCGAAGAATTAGTGGCTACATGTCACGCTATGTCGGGCGTTCATCGGGATCTGTCCACCGCCCTCTCTCATAGGAACAGCACCGAGCACGCGAGCCCCCCCCCCCCCCCCCCTCCTATGTCACGCTTCGACGTCGGCAGCTATCAGCAATAGCTGCGGGCGCGTGCTCTTATCCATGCCCCTAGCAACCGGAGCCCCCACCTCCTTGACTTGAACGTGGCTTGCTACCGCCTCAATGCAATGCGTTCGAAACGCGTTTGACGCATTTGTGCTACCAGCGTTTATGTAGATAAAACGCTGAGATTATAGCCGCCAGGTACAATGATAACACAAACAGGTGCTGACGAATGTGTAAATAAATGGTTACGGTACAAATCCTCGTCTCGTAATTATTTATGCCATTAAAATTACTACGCCGTGCACTCCCGGCGCAAGAAATGCATTCGCATTTCTTCGTGATTCCCTTCGAGAAGGGGGCTTTGTGTGTGTGTGTGTGTGTGTGTGTGTGTGTGTGTGTGTGTGTGTGTGTGTGTGTGTGTGTGTGTGTGTGTGTGTGTGTGTGTGTGTTTTTGCCTTGAAGTTTTGTCGTTTCGCTACAGTCAGTGAACCGATGGGCGTGCAGCGTTGTTACTTTATCTAGTCGATTGCGTCTGACGAGCGTAGGACGGGTGCCTAGAATATTTTAATTATAACCTAGGCACTATTGTTATAGTCTGCGCGCTTTGACTGATGGCGCAAATGGCGTGGCCGAGGTGGCCTGCATTTCTCGCCAAAATTACACCTGAAAAAATTTTAAAGCTGGCTGAACATTTTAGTGCAGCGTGGCACAATTTCAGCAAATTTCGTGGTTTTGGTGCAGCTTGGTGCAACGAATGGGAATTGTATCAGATTGGCGCTGCTATTGCATTCGTGTATATGTGAAGCTAGCTAAACGGCCGCGAGCGCACTATTAGCCTAGCATGTAGTCATGTTTTAGAAGACAAGCGGCACAGATTATACAATTACCTGAGCAACAAGTTATCCTTGGCAAAGCGTCGGTCCGTCGTCACTCGCCAATTACTGAGAGGTTGGCCCAACTTTGGCAACTAACGAAGGACCGGTCTTGAGTATTGACATAGGTCCCGCGCCGGCCAACGCTTCTGGGCTGTCGGTGCTTTGTGATGGCCTCGCGTAGATGACAATAGGCGAGTCGAGAGGTTGACTTAATGAGACCAGCCACAGTGTCGGCGTCCCACACTGTTCGAGCCCGTTCAACAAAAGGCTTGTCTCGCGAAGCTTTCGTTAAGACCCGACTGCTTCCTGGAACATCTACAGGACAGCGTGTTGCAGACTGAGCGCCAATGGGTTTGAAAGCCTCCCTAGTAGACCGGTTTACACACAATGGCGACTGCTCAGACTAATTGCCGGGCCAAACGTAACACGGCTGACCATTGTCCCACCTTACATAAGCGTCAATCTACAGACGGCTACAGGTAGGTTGCAAACGTTTCTTCCTCTGCTTGTTTTTTTTCTTTTTGTCGTTTTTTGTGCCCATGGCATTGGTCCAGTGCACAAGTAAGACAAAATTATACGCCTCTAAAGTCTGTACTTGCTAGCGTGTGAGTAACGCGCAATAAAAGAAAGATTTGAACGTAAGCTTTCTCATTTTATATGTTTATTCCACAGTTGTATAAATGCACTATATTTTTATGCAACATTGCTCGCATAGAACTATTTGCAGAAGGCCTTGTGTAAACCAACTGTACAGTCGATGGAGTAGTATTCCTGCTAGATCAGTTCTCTCTTTCGGTCAGTTCTCGTGCTCTTGGCGGTGAATACGCATTCGGTGTGCGACATTTTACCACCAAGATGTGAGGCTTGTATTGTTCTGTTGCTGGGAAAAGCTGAAAAGAACAAACTGGATGAATAATACTTACAGGAAGGCAGACTATTTACTTGACAAGTTGCACAGTCACATGTGTTTGTAAACTCTATTTGTTCGTATATACACAAAATAAGAAAAACTGTGCACTTACAATAATTATGTCATTGCGCCGAGATTCTGAGAAGTGCTTAAAGCCAGAGCACAGTTTCCTCGTGATAAGTTCCACTTCATTTCCTTTCAATTATTTACCTTAAAGACCCCAGATGGGTTTTAGGGGTAATTATATAAACAAAGATTACAAAGTTCGTCCACAAATAAATCTTGTCGTTTCTTCAATGAAGGCAAGTGAGGTGGTGATGGAAGCGATGTGGTGGGGAAAGTCATTCTAGCCTTTGGCTGTGCGGTGGAAAAATGATGACGAGCAAGTGACAGTACGTGCACATGGATGAGCAACGTTGAGTTAATGGCCTCCACGCATTGAAATACGCATAGGAGGTAGAATGTAAGGAGCTTGGCGAAGTGAACTGTTATAAAAATTGTGATATAATGATAAGCTCGCTATGCGACGGCAATGTGCTATTTACTAGTGCATCCAAACCATAATCTGTTTTTAATGACGAAACACTGATGTCATACGAAACTGATGAATGAATATACCTTACGGCGCGATTTTGGACGTATTCTACGGTGTCGCTGAGATATATAGATCTGATGAGGAGTTCGAATGGGTGATATATATTTGAGTTCAGGCCTAACCAATGTTTTAAATGCGAGTAGTTTTACGTGTTGAGGAGCATTGCGAAGGTTATGTTGGAGAAATCCTAAAGTTTTGTTTGAAGATGATGTGATGTCAGTCACATGAGAGGACCAGTTGAGATCATGCGGGATAGTAACACCTAAATACTTGAACGAGACAACATTGTCGACGGGGCTGTCGTTGATTGTGAGAGGAAGGGTACGATGATTATGACGGCGGGAAATAGACATGGATTTACATTTATGAGGATTTAAGGCCATGAACCACTCGTCACACCACTTCCCTACTTAGGTCAGTCTGCAATGAGATGTGGTCGGTATCGTTAATGATAGATCGATATGACGCAATCATCAGCAAAAATTCAAATGTTAGAGAATGCGCGCAACGGTAGACCGTTTGTGCATATTAAAAATAAGAGGGCACCTAGAACTGAACCCTGGTGGACGCCCGATGTTACTTGTAAAAATGTAGAAGCAGTATTGTTAATAATGACAGATTGTCATCGATTTTGAAGAAAGTTTGTTATCCATGTTAGGACATTAGGATACAAGTTTAGGTGAGAAAGTTTAAATATTAATTTCTTATGCGCTACATTATATTCCTTTGCAAAATCAAGAGAAATGACGTCGGTTACGATGTTACGATCGATGTTTGAGTGGACATCATGAAGAAATGAAGCTAGTATCGTGTCACGTGATAGATTCTTACGGAAACCATGCTGTCACAGATGGGAAAGTCGAGAAAATTCATAACGTGGAAAAATATGACGTCTTCTATGATTTTGCAAGGAATGCTAGTAATGTATATGGAGCGATAGTTTATGGTTATTCACGGTTACCTTATTTGAAGAGTGGAACGACCTTGTTCTTTTTCCAATGGCCTGGAAGGGAGCCTGATGGTGATGGTTGTGGGGAAAACAGGGTTATGTACATGGCAGATACGCACTTGATGTTTTTAATAGCTTGGAGGTGATTTCATCTACATCAGCGGATGAGGATAAGAGGGGACCTAAAACTGAACCCTGGGGTACGCCTGATGTTACTGGTAGAAATGTCGAAGCAGTATTGTTAATAATGACAGATTATGATTGCATAGCTTATGACTGTCAATGAGTGTAGATATTCCGGCTGGTGAAAAATAATACCAGGCATTAGAGGCATCACGTGAACAGAATATGGAGGCAGAGGCATGATTGGCTAAGTTGTAAAAACAGAAGCAAAATCAGAATTAAACAGGTTCGCACACTCTAAGTAAGATGAAACTTCATATTCCCTTAAAATTTTCATACCAGATGCTGATTTAGGGTTGATTACCTGCCAGAATTTTTTAGGGTTATTACTGAGCATTGCGGGGTAGGTCTGAATAAAAAAGGAATGTTTCTGTCGTATAGCGACCAAGTAGGTGTATTCAGCTTCGTAATAATTATGCCAAGAGTTGGGGCTTGACCGAAGTTTAGTGGAGTGAAATAGTAGTTTCGTTTTCTGCTCAAGTTTTTTTTTTTTAGTATGCTTGTGTACCATGTGTGATTGTGATTAGGCGGGAGTGTGATGATTGGTATATACTGCGCAACGTTAGACTGTTTGTTTATGAAGAGCCACCAGTTTTCATTCACGGAGCAATTTTCGAAGCCCGATTCCAATGATTCGTAGAATGCTTCTAATTCACTATTAATTGCGGTATAGTTATCTTTGTCGTACAGGCGGATTGTTTGCCGGTCTGTACAATGTTTCACGGGCGAGAAAGGGAAAGCTGCGTGAATTACTTCGTGGTCGCTAATTTCGCCTAAATAGATAATGGAGGAGATACTACCTGGATGGGTGGTTATTATCAGCTCAATTAATTATGTTTGCGATATCACCAGCTACACGCGTGGGCTCTTTTAGTATCTGTGAGAGGTTTGAATTAAGGCAGCAACATCTAGGAAATGTTTGATTCCTGCATTACCGATGCCTGAGCTAGAATAATCAGTTCGTGTGTGTGGGTAGTTGAAGTCCCCAAAGAGCAAGATGCATGCGCTCGTGAATCATTTTGTTATAAGAAGTCCGCATTACTGTTGGGGGGACGTTAGCAGACACCGACAAGTAGTAGTCGTGGATGAGCGCGACACATAAGCCATACAATTTCTAAGTTCGTTGTCACGTGAACAGTGGAGCATTTCTAGCTGTTTTTTTTTACGGCGATGACAACACCACCATTTCAAGCACTCTGTCTGTCCTTGCGAAAACCGTCAAAGTTTGGTAGTTCAGGCGTAAGTTATTCACTGTCAGCGATTTCATCAGCAAGCCCAGGTGCCAAGATGATAGTAAGCCAAGCTGGAAAACAAACAGTACAACAAAAAAATTAAGGACGACACATCTTACCTTTAAAGAGGGCCAGGCAGATATTTTTCAGTCGGCGTTTACAACCCACTCGCGACCTAATATAACGTGAAAAAAATGGCGTAGTACTTTAGCAACCGAGCATTGTTACGAGGCGCGACGTGAGTTGAGGCAAGGTTTACGTACAGCATCGAAATAGAAGCGTTACATATTCAGTCCTGGGACCGACAGCTTAGTGACTCGAAGAGCTGAGGTGCCTTTTCTCTGACGCATACGTCGGCTGACTGCTTGTCGACGCGCCGCTTGGCTTTTTTATAGGCCCCGGGTAATCCATTACGTGTACAACGTCTAATCGAAACCACCACTGGTAGCGTCAGCTTCCTCAAATCGGGACCCGCCGCTGGGTGACGTGTTGATCTTCAAATCAAAGGAAACGGAGACTGACATGTGGAGAATTGGCATGATTAAGAAGTCCGCACTAGAGATCTATCAAACTTTTAAGCAGGAAATTGCCAAGGAAAGGATCTATGATAATACTCGGGGTAGTTCTCTACTGTTTGAGGCCAGGAAGGGAGTATTGCGAACCAAGACATATCGGGCCAAATACAAAGGAGTAGACACAGTATGCAGTGCGTGTGGAGAGGAAGAAGAAACTGCCGAACACTTGATGATGTTCTGTAAAGGGCTTCACCCTATAGTTCAGGATGATGGCGCAGAGTTTTTGAAAGCACTGGGGTTTAGGGACAGGGAGAGCAAAATAGACCTTAAGCGGGTAGACCTAACTAGAAGCAGGTTATCTGATTGGTGGCTAAAGTCAAGGCACGAGTGAAAATTAAACCCTTCACTGCAAATTACCCGTCCAGCTTTACTATTTAAAGAGAAAAAAGATAAATCTAGTGGTTAGTTAACTAAGTATTACGGCTAGGTGGCGTTAGCCGCCGCCCGATCTGAAGGGTAGAGCCACATCCATCCATCCATCCATCCGGAGCCGCTGCGCTGTGTTGCACCAAGGACGAGTGATGTTGCCACGCACTGCGTAAGACTCGCCCGACTGGATGGCGCTGCTTGCATCATCGGGCTGCTATCGGGCCCGTGAATTGGAGCTCGCCGTGCGTTGCGTCAGACCAACAGGCGCCGCCGCTGGATGACGTCGTTGAGTTGATGGCGTCAGGCAGGCTCGCTCGCTAGCCTTGACACAAATTGCCTTTGCAGAGGCAATAACGTTCGGTGTGGACTCCCAGGCGTAACAGCCCCCCCGCCGCCAGACAATGCGACAGAAAGACGAGCTGCTTCCACATGGCTCGGTTGTCGGGCGCGCTCAATCGCCAGGTCCCTCCAGGTTTGCCTCCAGGGCTATGTGGAGGATGTAGCTCCAGGCTCAGGTCTGTGAACACATCCCATTCTTGAGGACGGATCCAAGCTCCACTGGCTTGTCGCCAAAACTTGTCGACTAGCTTCGCTTGTTTCTTCCGACAATTTTTGGGTCTCAGCACTAGTCGATGGTTCTGCAACTTGTCAAGAACGGTTCGACAACAGACAACACACGACACAAGCGAGTGCTTTCGGTTACCCGAAAGAACACCAGACAAAGTATAGTACAATATATACCTAGCTACGTGTCTATCGAAATTTGGTTCCCTCTACATCACGAGACACATATGAGACACAAGACTCTTAATATGAGAACTCAAATTTTTACACGTACAGCAACGTAAAAAAATAGAATACAACATAAAGTTGGCTTCTTGAGATCACTCTGCACAAGAGCGCTCAGCTAAGGAAGTGATGACAAAATTTTGCCCCGAATCGCCAGCGAAAGACTGAAAGATGGATAAGGTACTAACTAAAACGCACGGCTCAGTGCGTCTGCATTAGCGTTTAGCTTTCCTTTCTTGTAGCGAACGTCTAAGTTGTGCTGTTGGAGTATCATGCTCCATAGTAACCAGCCACTTTTAGGCGACATGTTATTTAACCAGGTAAGAGAGCAGTGGTCCGTTTCGACCACAAACCTCGAATCGAAGATATAACAGGCTATCTTTTGAACGGCCCACACGAGGCAAGCGCATTTCTTTTTCATATGTACTGTATGCTTCTTCCCTGCAGCTCAGTTTTCGACTTATAAACAAAACTGGCCTTTCGTGACCAGCACTGTCTTCCTGGCACAATATAGCTCCCATGCCGCTATTACTCGCGTCGCATTGAATGACAAATCCCTTAGATAAATCGGGTGCCATGAAAACGGGCTTTTCGCTCAGGGCCTGTTTCAGCTTGCAGAACGGATTGTCTTATGCTGAGTCCCATACCACTTTAACCGGCTCGGACTTTCGAAGTGCGTAGGTTAGAGGGCTGGTAATGCTAGAGTAGTTTCTCACGTAATGCTGATAGTATCCAGCTAGGCCCAAGAATGCCCTTATTTCAGATTTTGTGGTTGGTCGTGGATAGTTCACGACGGCGGCTACCTTAATTTCTGAAGGTCTACGCCGGCCACGCCCCACAACGTGTCCCAGGTAAGACACCTCGCCGCACCCTAGGTGACATTTAGCAGGTTTCATGGTAAGACCAGCTTATTTCAACCTGCAGCATGACTCGTAAACGCTCGACATGCTCTTACCAGCTGTTTGAGAAGATGGCGACATCGTCATGATACGGCAGAGCGAACCCAGAAAGGCTATTAAGAACGTGGTCTATCAAGCCTGAAAAACAAAAGGGCCCAGTTTTCAATCCAATGCTCAGCTTAAGTGGACAATAAATTCCATATGGAGGAACGAACGTGGCATAGCGGCTTCCGCGCTCTGCAAGGGGAACTTGCCAATGCCCTCGCAGGAGGCTTTACGTCTTTAGGAGGCTTTAGCTTTTGTATCGAGTACGTTTGGTCTCGAGTTATGGCGTTAAGACGCTGATAATCGACGCATGACATCGGATCTTTTTCCGACACTTGAACCAATATTAGTGGGAATGCATAGTCACTCTCGCCCGGTACTATGACTCCTAACTCCAGCATTTCATCGATCTCCTCTTTCATGATCTGCTTTTGCACAGGGGAACATCGATACGGCTTGCTACGGATTGGCTCCTCACAAGTTAGCTCGATATTGTGTTCAATCACCGTCGTGTTTCCGGGACGGTCCGAAAACACGTCTTCAAACTCGAAAACAATCCTCCTCAACTCCTTTTTTCTGAATTTGACTTGACCTGTAGGCTCCAGGTTCAACTGCTCCAAGATTACATCGGATCCCCTTTCGATTACACTACTAGAAATCAAAAGTTCCGCTCCTTCTTCCTCTGAAGCCTTCAAAAGCCGATTTACGACCGCTTGACGTTGAACGTATGGTTTCATAAAGTTACTGTTGTAAATTTTGTTCGGCCGCCTTCCTAATTTCACTTCATAATTGGTATCAGAAAGCTTCGATATTACTTTCGCAGGCCCTTTTCAATGAACTTCAAGATTGTTCCTTTTGGACGGCTGCAAAAGCATTACCTGACTACCCACTTCAGTGGTGCGTTTCTTCGCCGATTAATTGTAGTACTCCTTCAACAACACTTGTGCAGCCTGCATGTGGCTTTCCACAAGATCTTTTGTTTTTTTAAGCCTCTGAAGGAGGTCGAGAACATACGCAACTACATTAGGGTCCTCATCTAATCCCTCCCAGGACTTGCGTATAGCATTAGCAATGGTGTTGTCCAACTCCTGCCATACACAAGCTCTGCAAGGCTAAAACTAGTGCTCTCATGAGGAGCTGATCTCAAAGCGAACATAGCGGGAGGGATACATGCTTCCCAGTCGCATTTGTGCTCGTAGCAACGAGCTCTCAGTATCAGTTTCAGAACGCAATGCGTACGCTCTACCGGATTAGATTGCGGGTTATGGATCGAGCTGTGCACTACTTTTATTCCACATTTATCCAAAAAGGTAGAGGTAAGGGAGCTGGTGAAGACACCACTGTTGTCCCATTGAATTTCAGAAGGGAATTCAACGCGTGCGAAAACAGAGAGCAGAGCATCCACGACATAAGGGGAATTGAGCTCCTTAAGTGGTATCGCTTCGGGAAATTTTGTGCTTCACAGAGGGTCGTGAGGATGTACCGACAACCTTGCCTTGGCTCTGGCAGTGGCCCGACGATATCAATTACTAGGCGCCGAAAAGGTTCTCTGATAATTGGCACAAGCTTCATGGGTGCCTTCCACTTGACCGTGAATTTCCCCGCTCTCTGACAAGTGTCGCATGTTCGTACAAAGTCTTCGATGTCCTTCCAGCATTTTGGCCAATAAAACTCAAGGAAAACTCTAGGCTTGGTCTTTTTTATGCTGAGATGCCCTGCCCACGCGTTTTCATGCGCCAGTTCCAATAGTTGGCGACGATACTTTTGTGGCACTATGAGCTGCTCATACTTGCGACCTTGCGCATTTGTGTAGTTCCGATACAGGAGCACTGCTTTCTCAAAAAAAAAAAAAGAAACACTCTTTTTCTTTTTTCCCAAGTTTATGCTTTTAATTAGCGCTTTAATCAAAAAGTCCTCACGCTGCTCTCGAATGAGCGTTTCTCGATCAACCCTCGACAGCTCACTCTGACTCAATGGCGCCATGTCGTCTCCTCCGCCTACGGAGACCACGCCAGTCGCTTAAGTGACGGGCCGCTCGAGTGACTGCTCAAATGACTCACGCGGAGAATTTCCTGTCTGAGGTTCCGTCAACTCGCCGCCAAAGTCGCACAGATCAGCAGCTTTCGCACTTGATGCTTCACCACATTGAACTAGGCCAAGTTCCTGCGAAAGCTTCCGCACTTGCTGCCGCGTGAGGGCCATGTACGCTAAGTTAGATAAGAACGATTTCCCCTACTCTTTGAGAAGCTGCTCAGATTTATTGGAAAAAGATAAGGAAAACGATCGTGAAGCGCGGCAGACACAGCCGCTTCGGTGCGAATCTTACCGAACGGGCCCTCAATGACAACCGTAGCGATTGGTTGGCAAGCACTCTGCTCCTCAGCGACTTGTCTGATCCACGCGCATTCTCCTGTAAAGTCTTCCGGAGACACAAACGAAGGGTGGACAACATCGATGGTTGCCACTGAGTCTCGAAGTGCTCGACACGTTTTCCCATT